AGCTCCTGGAAGTAAACGTCTGTCATTCTCAATTTAAATATGCCTGAAACTAAACAATTCTATTTCTTCCAGCAAATGATTGCTCATCCTGTTTGTTTGTTCTACTTCCCTTTTAGAACCAAATTCCCTGAATTTCTTTTCTTGCTGAGTCAGCGATAAATGTTAATCTTATTGTCTTGAGTGTTTCCAGTAGGGTGGGCATATTCTCAAGGAGGCTGCCTTTAAGGCTTTTATTCGTATAAATTTGAAGTGAAAAAGCAAAGCCAGGTTTTTGAATCTAGTGTTCACATATCTATACCTTTAATTTTTAAAATTATCTAGAGAGCCTAGATATTAATCATATACATATCCACCTTACAGACAGAGTATTATTTTGAAGATTCACAGACGTCCTGACGTCCCTGACGTCCTCGGGGCTGGCCGCGCACAGCGCCCCCATGTGCAGCCGGTCAGCCGAAGGGACCGCGGCGAGGCAGGGCTCGGAGCTTCACATTTGATGGCAGTCTTGTCATCTTCTACCTCTTCCATTAAAGCTGGAAGCTGAGTGAGACAGGTGTAAAATGGCAGTGTAAAACTGGCTAATGATAGACTGTGTCGAAAAAGGCAACCTCACAGGCTTTACATTATAACCAGAAACTTATTTGTAAGTCTATTTGCTATGGTTTCCTCCAAGTACAAAAAAAAAAAAAAACCCTTGTTCCAGCTTAGTGCCATCTTACAGGACTGTCTTGTTCAAGAGAAGCGGGGCGTGGGGCAGCGAGAGCACCCGACTGAGTGCAGACACCCTGGACGGGAGCCTCCCTGAAGTCGGGCTCCGCCCTCCCTGGAATCCAGCGACCAGATGGCCCCGCCGGGCAGGACAGCAGAGTGACGCCAGCACCGTGAACCCTGCATGGCATGAACCGCCCTGAAGAAAGGACTCTGCTCATCGCCAGATGCTGCTCAGAGGAAGAAACCTCTAGCAAGAGGAAGAAACCTCTTGAGTTTCAATGTTTCAAACAATGAGTGTGTTGTTTTAACCAACTAACCTGTGCCTTTTTAGTGGGGTTCTCTAAAGAATACTGATCCAGGAGAAGGAAATGGCCACTCACTCCAGTGTTCTTGCCTGGAGAATCCCAGGGACGGGGGAGCTGGTGGGCTGCCGTCTATGGGGTCGCACAGAGTCGGACATGACTGAAGTGACTTAGCAGCTTTATATTATGTTCAAGATACATAACCTATTATAAACATGACTTGATCACCTGGCTGAGGTGGTGTTTGTTTCAGGTTTCTCCACTGTACTGTTACTTTGCCCCGCTTTTCTATATTGTACTGTCATTATCTGAAGCCCACACTTAAGGAGTGGGGAATGATACTCCATTCTCTTGGGGGTGGAATATCTACATAAATTATTTGGAATTCTTCTGCACAAAATGTTTGGACTTTTTAGTCATGTATTACCAAATTTTGAAAGACTCAAAAATAAATCTGCTCCTGTGTCCATCAAAAGATGAATGAATAAAGATATGTTGTGTATATATACATACACACACAATGGAACACCACTGTAAAAAAAGAATAAAATTTTGCCATTTGCAACAACAACAAAAAAAAAAAAAGAATACTGATCCACTGCAGCCCCACAGGAGCTTGGTGACAACAAAGTGACTTAGTGCAAAATACAGCTGAGCCCGTTTAACAGCAGCTGGATAAACTATGCACCCTCCCCTGATCTCCAACAAGAACCCTCAGACAACAGAAGGCTACAGAGGCTGTAAATGATCCCCACGGAACTGAACAGGGATCAGTCTCAAATTCAAGTTACAATAAGCCTTTATAAAAATCAGAAAACAACAAAAACAGAGTGGGAAGTGACACGCCTGGGCTGACCGTGGACTCAGGGGAGACAAACACCTGCCTCAAAGTCAGGGACCGCGGCCAGCCCCTTCCTTCCCCGGGCCTCCTCCTGAGGAAGGCCTCTGGGTCCCCAGCCTGGCCGCCCGCCCCCGGGAGGGAAGCCCGCCGCCCTGGTGCCCATGTGACTAGGATGGGCAGGACCGTGTCCTCACGTAACAGGAGGGCACAGCAGGCCACAGAGCCGGTGACCGGCACACCCAGGTCACGAGCCCCAGGGCACAGTGCTGCTCCGCGGTGCCCAGCAGAAGGGCTCCCGGGGAACTGAGCTGCCTGAACTGGAGCGCGGCTGCCCGAGTCCTGCGGGAAGGTCCCAGGAGTGGTCGGTCAGTGGGCTGGGAGTGGGAGAGGGACAAGGACGGCCAGCCTTCGGGGCACTGGACTCAACAACAGGGGCTCATCCAAGGGACCCGAGGGGAGAGGCAGCGAGCTCCCTCCTGATGCTCCCTCCATCAGGGATGCCATGAGGGACACGAGGGCCTCTGGAGGAAAGCGGGCTGGACGGCAGCAGGGTTAAGTGTCCAGGCTCTCATCAGACCAGTACGCACCGCCCTGCTGGCTGTGCGAGCCTGGGCACAGGGCGCAGCCTCTCTAAGCCTCAGTGTCCACGTCTGCTGAATGGGGATGACAGCAGCCGGGACCTCACCTGGGTGTCTGCCAGATGAGATGACAGGCTCGGAAAGCACTCGACACGCTGCCTGGTGCACAGAGGCTCCTGCACACTGCTACCCCCGTCATTAGACTGGCTTCCCCCAAAGCTACCGCCTATGGCTCCGATTCAGCCGTTTCTTTGAATAACACACTGAGCGGAAATTCCACCGTGGTCCAGACATTAGGACTTGGCACTCTCACTGCCGGGACACCGGTCTGGTCCCAGGTTGGGGAACTAAGATCCCATAAGCTGTGCAGCACGGCCAAAAAAATTACTAAAGAAAATTTTAAAAATAATCCTTTGTCTATTATAAATAAGCATGAGTTGATTAGAAGGTAAACAAGTGGGAGAAAGGCAAACTGTTACAAGTGTCCCCGAATGACCTATTACCAAGAGAACCATCAGCATATTTCAACTGGTGGATGAGTTTCAAAACTTCCATTAAAATGTCAATTATTCACCAGTACATAACCACATAGTGTTCATTCATGTAACACGATAACGACTCTTTAATACTTCACAGAGAAACAAAGGCATGCTATATTATTAGTTAACCTTTCGACGATGCTTCCTTAAATCACTAGGCTGAAAGATGCATGCAAAGAAATGAACAGAAACCAGATTGATTGCAACTTTGATGCTAAAAATGAAAGAATCATTACAGGCAAATACAGTAAAGCAAACATGACGGCAAACATATGTGAGATGAAGACTTAGAGAACATGTAACTGGAAACAGAACATACTTTTTAACCACAGAAGTGAAATAAGCTATTCAAGGTTTACTAGAGAAACACTATAAATTATAACTCAGGAAGATACCATTCTATTACAATATCATGATTTATTAAAGCAGAGCATTCTGTTCAACAAAAGGCCTTAAGAGTTGTCTGTTCTCAGACACAATTTGCTATAACTTAGTTTCTCTTAATAGAAAACACGTTATACTTTAAAGGAGTAATTTCACTGATTAGGAAGTTATCATAATACCTATTTTAAACCTGAACAAATCTAACCACCTATTGGACTTTAATATAAAATCCTTACCTAGAATTTGATATAAAACTTTTCAGAATAAATCCATTAAAGCAGGTATCCCATGAAAATTTGTAAGGAAAGCTAGCATAATAGCAAGTGGAGTCTTCACATCTTATGAACCATAAAAGATACTTTGTAAAAGAGTCTAGTAGAAACATTAACCATGCAAAAGCTGATGAGATTTACCGTCTAAACTCCAAGCATCAACACAGAAAGGATATTGGGTCAAAAGACCATTAATTCTACATTTAGAGGATCGTTTCTTCATGTAAGCATAATCTCATTTATGATTACCCAGGTTATGTAGTGTATGATCCACCTACACAATGCTTCTAACTGATTAGTGATACACTAACTCTAACTTACTGCTATGCAGGAAAAACACCATTTAATGAGACACGAAGACAAACCACAAACCAGACTAACAGGACACAGCACTGATATGACCAGAGCAACTGGGAAGATGGGGGAGGAGAGATGGATGTGTGAACTACAGCCTCTGGTGGGGGGGATGGGAGGCTGGGGTCTGGATTGATGACGGCTAAACAGACAACAGGATGAGTCAGGAAATCAAAACCAATGATGAAAGCAGACACACCGTCAGAAAACTCCACAAGGAAAAAATATTCAGAACTGTTCTTTTACAAATACTCGGAAAGAAATCAAGCATGAAACCACAAGAAATCGTCCAAGAATTTTAAATATCAACGACTTAGACAATGATACAAATTATAAAAGCAGTGTGTCAAAAGACCACAAAATGGACCAGTTACCACTTCATATGCATCTAAAATGACCCACAGTTAATTTAATTCTATGCTAACAACGCAGCTAACATGAAATGGGTGGTAACAGAAAAAAGGGATAATACAAGTGCAGTTTCAAGGCAGAGTGTTGTACACGTGATTCACAGGGTAAACAGCAATGCACTCAGAAACCTAGGCTACACAGGCAAGAAAGCTGGCACATGTGCTTTAGAGACGCACACTCTGTCACCACAAGCCCTAGGTCGTCATCCCGTGTTGAGATGCGGAAGAGTGAGGCAGCCCGACTTCTACCCTGGGGCCCTGGGGCACCGGGCCTTTAACTGGTTTCACGCACACAGCAGGCCTGAGCGGGCGGCCAGGCCCATCAGCAAGCGGACCAGTTCAGATTCTTGGTTTTGTTGCCACTGCATGCCCTGCACCCTGCAGCCAGGCGACCCCGATGGAACATGTGCTGCCCACCTTTCACTCGCCATGAGGGCTGCCTGTGGTTACTTTCACGAGGCTGTCTGCTCCCTGATGACAGAAACTTCCCTGCCGCTGCCGTGCCCAGCACAGGCCAGGCCCACCATCCCAGAAGCAGGCTCTGGCTGAGTTCATGATGGCCCGGTAAGCCGGCGGTCCAAATATCAACACTAATTGGTCCCTGTGCCATTAAGGAATGATTAAAGACCAGGCAAGTTTTAAAAGTCTTAGATCTCTGAGCGTAGCAAATGTACCTGATTTTCTTCTGGGGAAAAAGAGAAAAAACAAAGAAAGAAAAACAGTGTGCTCGGGGAGGGATGCGGCAGGGAGGAGGCAGACACATACTGGAGTCATGACGCCCAGCCGGTCTCCCTCACGCGCCAGGCTGTGCCACCTCCTTCGGGGCGGGGAGCGCCCCGTGCTGGGCGGGCAGAAGCCGGCAAGTGAGGAGGCAAGACACAGGTTGAGGGAGCTCAGGGACTTAAAGCACCAAAGGGTGCCTAAGCGCGCCCTGCCCGCCCTGCTATCAGTCTCCTCAGGCCACTGCTCCGTGCTCTCCTTCTCCTCTTGGATCCACCTAAAACAGAGCAAAACTCGTCAGCTGCCTCTGTCGCACAGGAACCTGTCTGGACAGCAAATTTGGGCTGGCATTCTGTGTCACGATGAGCCAATTCCGGGAACATCTGCTCATTTCACATCTCGGCTAAAAGGTTCGACTTTCCCTCTTTTGAATATTCCCAAACTTGGAATAACTGAGCACTGAGTCTTACAAACTGGCCCCTGGTCATTCACGTTTGATTTGAGTCCTTTACGCTAACATTCTGACGGGGCCCGAGTGGCGACTCTCTCCCTGTGAGGAGATACCTGAAGTTGACAACCTTCACCTTCCCTGCTCTCAGGGCAGAGGTGCACGTCAGGGCCTCAAGTCTTTGCCACTGGGAATCGGGAACTCTCTATAACCAAAACAGCGATTCATGAACAAGCTGGAGTTTCTAAACAAAAGTCCCCAGACCAGATGAAGTGCTGAGGGGATTTTTCTTCTTTTAAGGTTGTATATGTACAAACGCATCACTTGATGAAGTTCTCCACCAGCTTCGTGCGAGTTTCTGGATTCATGTCAATGTGCTGCATTAACCTAGAATTCACCCTTACTGCTCTTCTCCCCTAATGTGTAGTGGAGGATTTTAAATAGCAGTTTAAATACTCGATGATGCATATAAAATGATTTCCAAAATAAAATACAGGATTCTTGCAGGTCATAACCTCTCCAGCTTCACTTCTACCTATAAGTCCTGAAAGCTTTTCACTGGTGATAGCAAGCTGATGGACAGGATTTGCCATTTATAACAAGTCAACTTACTGCCTAAGGAAAATTCACTTTACCTGACAACTTGCTGTTAAAATAAAAATACTAATATGGAACCGTTCCATATTTCCTGCGGGAACGGGGAAAGCCTATCTTTCTGAGCTCGTCTGAGCTGAAACAGGGCCCAGGAAGCAGTCTGTCTCGGCGTCAAAAGTGCAGGTGGCACCACCTGCGTTTGCTGGTTGTGCCATTCACCCCTGCCTTCCCCCGGAGCCCCACGTGCTCGGCACGCAGGCATGGGCACCTCAGCCTGGGCTGACGTGATGAGAACAATCTGAGCAGCAGCTCTGCCTGGCCCTGATCAGGGTCACCAGCCTGCAGCCACTCTGGATGTGGACCTGAGACAGGGGCGTAGCTGTGCAGGTGTGGCCCAGGCAGGCCTCGGGGCCCCTGGACACCCGGCTGCACCCAGACCCAAGTCCCGCTGCTCACCACGAGGCGGGCCTTTGCGTTCTATCCCATTTTGTAAACTGTTACAGCTGCCAGGACGGTGTCTAAAGAAAACATCTTAAATACACTGATGAGATGAGAAAAACTCAAACACATGTCCTTGGACCACTGTCTTACAACAAGCCAATCTTCACACTGTATTAACTTAAAAAGGACAATGCAGCTCTGAATGGGAATTTGCCAACCCCCAAACCCCTGCTTTTCTGCTCCAGGTAGGTTTTCACCAGAACGTGGGAGTCTCCGATGGACACAGGAGGGTGAACCCTCAGTGCTGGAGGGCACACGGGCCGCAAAGGACACCGCGTCGGCACCTCACCCACCTTGGGGCTCAGAGCTGGGGGGGACACCCCACAATGCCCCCCCACAGAGTGCTGACACCAGCTGTGGAGAGAACGCCCTGCCTGACTGAGCTCTCTCATCAAGGGCAATCTCAGAACTGAAAATCCTTGAAGCAGGCCTGAAGTCAGTTTTCTCACTATGGAACACTCAGACTTCTCGTAGGAGAAGACAGCTCCTCAGAGAAGCCCAGTTTCTGGGGAGCTGAGTTCGGGCACACGCACCGGATCTCTTCACTGATGGTGTCCAGCTGCTCCCGAGGCATCACAGGCAGCGTGTTGGCATCGGCCTGCCCACTGGGCGGCAGCTGACCGGCCGAGCTGAAGAGGGTGACCCCGTCGCCCTCGCCGTCAGACACATCCTCGTCACTCTCGAAGTATGGGCCACGGTGGCCACCACACGGGCCTGCTGCACAGACTGCCAGTCCTGCTCCCTCTGGCTCTGCACCTGGGCACGAGAGGACCACGGATGGTCAGCGACATTCAGGACAGCTCACGTCTATCAGGAACCGAACACAATTTTACATGGAAGCCCCACTTTGGATAAACGGCCATGCCTATGAGACACTGCCATCTCTTAAGCGAGCAGGACTGAAGAAATGGGCAGGAGGAGAATCCAGTTCCTAGATGGCCTGCTGACACTCAGGTCTTAGGGTGGACGGAAGGCAATCCTATGAGGTTATTCACAAGGGTGCGCTGACGAAGTCAGAGACAAAAACGCAAAATTACAAACATACATCCATGCCTCCAGCAGGCAGACTGAAGGAAAATAAGAAGGAAAAAACCCTTCTGCTCCGCAGGCGCTGGGTCCGCCTCAGCGGTCGTCACTTGTGCTAGTTCCCCGAGGAGTGCCGTCCTCACAGGTTCCCAGCCCTCCGTGTTCCAGGCTGGTCTGAACACGCACAGAGAGGAGCGAGCAGGGCAGCCAGGGGACTGGAGGGCCAGCCCCCCGCGGCTGTCTTCTCGGGGCACAGGCACTCGGGCTCTGCTGGGGGATAGCCCGTCGCACCAGAAGGGCGGCTCTGCCATCAGAGACGCACGGGAGAGTGCCCGCTGGGCCCTGTGCCGCCCTTCTGCTCTCACACCTCACACCCTTCTCTCTGCAAATCTCCCCCCTGTCCGACTCTCAACCCAGGTCCTGCCTTCTTTCCCACACATGACCTCAAAGCAACCGAGGGGCAGCCTCGAGGTGCTGGCTGCCGGCTACCTGGCCCCCGTGGCCAGAGCCCTCGCCCCCTGTCTTCCTCACGACCCCTCCCCAGGGCTGGGCTACCCCCTTCGCTGGCTGCAGGACCACCTGCCGTCATCCCTGCTCTGCTCCAGGGCACCAGCTGCCTATGGGTTCACCCCCATCAGCCCGGTCAGCACATCCTCTCGCTTCTCTCACCTTCCGATGGCACAACGGGAACCAGCAGACTCCTCCTCCAGGGCACCCTGCAGTGCCCACTGGGGGTCTCTGACGGCTCCCTGGGAGCGGCCTCTGCTGTCCCTGTCCCGCCTGGTCTCCAGCTCTCTGCAAGCAGGCGCTGTGCCCTGCCCTGCCGGGCAGCTCCCCGGGGGCTGGAGGAGCCCATGTCACCAAGCCTACTCCCCTCCTTGCCCACCCCGCCGCCCTCCAACATGTCTCTCCCTGGCTCCAGGCCCCGCCCTCCCTGGGCTTACTCCTCAGGCCCTTGCGCCCCTTTTCAAAGATAAATAACATCTGATATCCACCACTACAGCCTTCATACTTTGTGAAAATGACAGTATACAAATAACGAACCCTTAACTGAAATTACACGATGACTGATCAAACTTACCTCTTTGTGTATGGTACTTAATTCCTCTTCTAAGGAACTACACCTTTCAAGTGCTCGTCGTAGTTCCTCTCTCAACTGAAATAAAAGGGGCCGAATCACTGTGTGTTGATGTGTGTACATACGTTAATGCACTTCTTATTGTACCCTCACCTGATTCCATGGTTACTGTAACAGAATACCTTTAATGTCTCTCATTGACCTTAAGGTGAAGAAAATCTGCTTACTAACAGATTTAAATTCTAAGTTTCAGAATTTATCTAATTTACTAACTAGCTTTAAATTCTAAGTTTCAGAATTTATCCTAAAAGAACCGTATTACCCAGTTTTTAATTGCAAATTGACATACAGAATAAAATAAACCTTGAGACATTTATGCCAACTAATACTTTTTAACTGGGGGCTTCCCAGGTGGCTCAGTGGTAAAGAATCTGCCTGCCAACATGAGAGGGCAGGTTCGATCCCTGGAGTAGAAGATGGCCACCCACTCTAGTATTCTTGCCTGGGAAGCCCCATGAAGAGAGGAGTGTGGTGGTCTACGGTCCACAGGGTCGCAAAGACTCGGATATATCTGAGCATGTACACAGGCAACGCTTTTTAACCATATAAAACTCTGAGTTCTTACAGAAAAACTGTATTTACAAGAATTCAAGAAGCTCAAAAGTCAACTAGTTCCATAAACACATGCATCGTCCACCTAACCAGGCAGCAAGTGTACAAATCCAGGACGGCCGCGTGGCTGGTACCTTCTCGTCCAGGGCCTTGTGGTGCTCGAAGAGCAATCTCAGTGCCCTGAGGACCTCCAACTCGCTGGTCATGCTGGCTGGGGACCGCGCCTGATGCCTCTCCACCGTCATCCGGAGGGACGGCACGTACCGGGAAACCAGGAGCTCCAGGTGTTCCAGCAGCAGCTGCAAGGTGGGGCCAAAGGAGCACCTTCAACCTCACACTTGAATTCAGGGCCCAGAACGCCTCTCAGCCTCACGCTAAGACCGAAACCATGCTAAGGCATGTCGGAATCCCGCCAGTTCAGTCTAAAGTTAGAGTGGACTTCCCCAGTGGCCCAGGAGTTAACACTCCACACTTCTGCAGGGCTCATGGGTTTTAATCCCTGTGTGGGAACTAAGATCCCACACAAACTGCAGCATGGACAAAAATGGAAGCTAAGAGAACTCTCCCCTCAAATGTACTAAAATTACGTTAGCTCTCATCATCAATTTGAAGCAAGCTTTGAGAACCCTGAACTGATCCACCTCGGTCTGCTCAGTGGGAAGATGTGAAAAATGACTTGAAAACCAGACAGATTTTAAAAACAGCGACATGGAGCCCAGCGGTGACCCCCGCGGGGCACAGGTCAACACGTGAGACTCCGCCTACTGACCCTGGTGTTGTTCCTTTCGGCTTTCAGCTCCGCGATTTCTGCTTCTCTTGTAAGAAGCTGCTCCCTGCATGCCTTTAGTTGTTGAGATGTGGCCAACTCCTAGAAAACAGGTCAATGAGGAAGTAACTAAATGCAAACACAAATGTTAAAGAGAGCGAGACTCTGAAGACTGACACTGTCCAGTCTCTCCAGGCTCCACTCAAAGGATCTCCCTGCCCCTCCGGAGAAGAGGGGGTCTGCTGACCCCAAGACCACACAGACCCCTACAACTCAGACTGGCCGGCAGCCTCCACCTCAACCTGGCAGGCACGCGGCAGGGGAGAACCCGGAATCCAAGCCTGCCTTCTCAAGACCCAGGGAAGTCCGAGAAACTTTCCTAAACATACACCTAACAACAAAGTGGATAAAGAGATTCTTTTTTTTTCTTTTTTTTTTTAATGAAGTCAAGGTGTAGGACAGATTTATTAGCTTCCATTTTTCCAGGTTGCATTCTGATGTATTTCCTGCCCATATTTCTAAATTCAGCAGGTAATTTTTAGGGTTATCCTTAAAAAATACATTTCAAAGAACATGATGCAGCTATAACGACTACACCTGCAGACACACCTGTGATGATACAAACACTCAGTGCTTCTCATATTCACCACCCAGCACCCTAAGAGGAAAGAGACCTTCTATACCATCTGACAAGATGCTGCCTTTCTTAAAAAGAACTGATACTGGTAACCAGATATTACATTCAGGACTGCTCCTGGTCAAAATGGTCATTAAATTCTGTGTAGTTCAGTCTATTCTTCACTGTCATAATTCACTTTTCCAATATTATGAGATACTTAAAACAAATAGTTAAAATTATTTTTTATGCCTATAATATTCCTACTTAAGTTTAATACTCATACATAATTCATTATTCAATATGCACTGTGTATCAGGTACAATACTTGGTTCTTGAGGAAATAAATCTAGTAAGAATATATTTCCTTGGATAATTCCTATCCCAACTGCCTAATTGGAGTTGTGAACAAATAATTAGTGTACTAAATTGCTAGTTAAATTTCAAGAACTCAGTAAGCTCATGTGTCTAGAGTCTGTCATACTGGACAGTGTAGACAGAATTATTTCCGTCACTGCAGAAAATTCTACTGGACAGCCCTGAGTGAAGAGTACAAGGCAAGCCTGTGGCCAGTTCAGGGAGAGTCTCAAAAGTATATTAAAAAGTTTAACTGGAAATTGTTTATAAACTACTGAATTCCACAAATTTCTTTCAGGAAAAGACTTTGAGAACTCCACTTTCAAAGTATTGCTATAATCTGGTTTACCCATGCAGCTTCTATATTTGAATAATACTTCACATTTTAGAAATACTTCAAATTTTAATATTTTAGAAATAGTACTTCTTAAAGCAATGCACAAAATGCTGTGGGAAGAACATACACTAGGCATACCATTGGTAGAGGCTAATGATATGATAAAGGACTATCTTCAGTGAAGCTTCTAAAGAAACACACAATTAAGAATCTGTATCAATAAATGTATTCCAAGTAAGAATTGTGCATTCACACCAGGCATATTATTTCCCCACAAAAGCCAGTATCATCATTAAAATATTTAACACTAAATAAACCGTAAAACTCACAGGTATGTGAAAAACTTCTCAAGGTATCTATTTCAAGTCATTAAGTTCTTTAATATTTATAATCCATGCATAAACATATCACTCATAATTATTGATATGCTTACTATATATATTTAAAACATCTTTTGGGAAATTTTATGCTCTCTAAATAATAACTTCTTAGTAGCTTAAAAATACCTCTATGAACCTCTTAGCAGTACTATTGTAAACCAAAATTGTATTTTCAAGTAGCAAGGATCCAAGACACACCATTCCTGATTAAAGACAGAGCTGACATCCAGTTTTACAAATAGCTCTTGTCCATTCCTTGTCCCTATTTTTTTTTCCCCTTGTCCCTATTTTAATATGCCAACCATTACTTCACTGATATCCCAAAGTTTTCTTGCAACAGATTCATCCATAGCTTTGGGCAACAGTTCTTCCTCTTTACAGTCCCCAAAGTACCTCCCTGAAACACCTTCTACCTCAGGTGAAGAGGCTAAATAAATTGAAGTCTGGGCCCCCTCTTCTGGAGTTTTGAAGAAAGCCCATGACACTAAATTGAAAAGTGGTCTGACCAACAGTGGGATGTGTACGTGCCTCCCGAGGTTAGTCCGCACTATGCCAGGGTGTAACACATTCACGGTCACGTTGGTGCCTTCTAAGCGGCGGGCTAGTTCTCTGGTAAAAAGAATGTAAGCCAGTTTGCTCCGACTGTAACAGAAGCTTTTATTATAGCTCTGTTCACTGTTCAAGTCTTCAAAGTTGATGTCTCCGTATTTGTAAAGTTTAGAGGAAACAACCACAATTCGGCTGGGAGCTGAACTTTTGAGGAGTCCAAGGAGAAGGTTGGTGAGTAGGAAGTGTCCCAGATGGTTCACACCAAACTGCATCTCAAATCCATCTTCAGTCTTCATATAAGGGCACTGGAAGACCCCGGCGTTATTGATCAAAACATCCAGTCTAGGCTCTTCCTGGAGCATCTCTTGACATAAGGAGCGCACGGAGCTCAGAGAGGCGAGGTCCAGCTCTTTGACGACGAGCTCGCCGGCCCCGCCGGAGTTGGGCCCCGGGTCGGGGCCTCCAGCCGGGCAGACCTCACGGCGGAGCTGACCCGCCGCCTCCTCGGCGCGCTCGCAGTCCCGGCAGCCCATGATCACTCGAGCCCCCAGGCGCAACAGCTCGGCCGCGGTGGCGCGGCCCAGGCCTCTGTTCGCCCCCGTGATCAGCACGGTCTTCCCGCGCATGAGGCCTTGGTGCAGTCGCTGGACGTTGGACCCCATAAACCGCCGGGCGGCTAGCCACAGGACCCCACCTAGTGCGGCCAGTATCGCTGCCGCGGTAGCCACTGACATAGCCGCCGGGGCCGAGGGCCCACCGGCCCCTGCGCCGATAAAGAGATTCTTAAACGATACACAGACAAGTGACCTAGAGCCGCTGGGGAGAGTGAAGAAGAAAGGTAAGGTCTTCAAGGCCACCAGGCTTTGGAGTGTTCCTCTGGGAAAGAGGCTGATGGCACCCCAAGGCCGTCTGTTAGCCTGACTCCACTGAAGTCACCCAGTCATTCAGTGAACTGCTTAAAATGGCAAATTCATGTTATGTGTATTTTATCACAATATGCATGCACCCGGGGCCGTCCACGTGGTGAACTTGCTCAAACCGAACCACACAGACTCTTTCATTCTTCTATTGTTCTTTGCACAAATACAAAAATCCTGGGCTATGTCTCCCCTACTACATACTAAGTATTCAGCACCTAGAGCACTGCCCAGCACTTTGTAAGAGGCATGTAGTAGACATGTGAGGCTGTGAGGGTGTGTGTCATACACAGGAGCAGTAGGCACCCGTCATTAGAACACTGGGCGCACTGCTCTGGGCTTTGGACGACGGCAGACGTTAAGGGGCTCAGCCTTTCTGCTCCAAGGACTGACTCTCTAGCTCGACCCACACGCCCCAGAGACTCCTCCAGCCAATGGATCCCTTGTTTGGAAGAAGAGAGACTTTAAGGGGCTTAGCCTTTCCTTTCTGCTCCAAGGACCGACTCTAGAGCTCAGTCCACGTGCCCCAGTGACTCCTCCAGCCCCTGTTCCCCTTCCTGTGGGGCCCCCGCCCATCGTCCACGCAGCATCTGCACGGCCTCTTACAAGGTCAACCTGCTGGGGTCCATCCTGCCCAGGAGGCCAGAAGGCCCTGGCCGGCAGGGCCCACGAGCATGCAAACAAAATGAAACACAACCCCAACGCTTCGCCAGGTGAGGGCCAACCCGACGGGCCCATCCCCCGGCTGCTCTCACCTCCGGCCACTCTGCTTCCAAGACTTGGGATGAGGCCAACTTATTTCTTGTCTTGGCCTTTTTCTTGGGGTTGCAGCATGGGAAAAGCCCCCATAGGCTGACCCTTCTGTGACCCATCCTCGCGGATGGGGGCAGCCCCCCACTTGGGGGCACCTGCTGTTTCTCAGGCAGATCCCTAAGCGCCTGAGGTATCACTACCGCTCTCACACTATGACCACCGCTCTCACACACACTGCTGTCACACTATGACCACCAGCTCCACTGTCTCAAGAAGAAATGGCACAAAGGCTCTGCCTCCAGCACGTCTCCCAGGAGCCCGGATCATGGAAGCCACTCTGTCACAAAGGGCTCCATGGTAACAGGGGGGCTGGGCTCCGGCCCACCATCAAGGGTGCAGAGATCAGGGAGGGGCTGCCAAAAAGATGGCAGGTGTGTGTTGGGTGCGGGAGAAGGAAGGCCGTGCCCACAGCTCAGGCCCACCGTCAAACGTCACCCTACAAGGTCACTGGGTCACAGTCAAACTGAACAGTATAAACTGCTTCAGAAACCACCACTGCTAGGGATGAGC